CAGGAAAGGTGTGAGAGAGAGGGAAGTCAGAGATTCAAATCTTAAGGACTGGCATGTCCTTGCTTGTTTGTAGATGAGGAAGTGAGGGCAGGTGCAGGAATCAAGACATGTGGATGATCTCCAGGACCCAAGAACAGTAGCTTCCAGATATTAGCCCTCAAGGAAACAGAGACCTTACTGATAAAATGGTCTGAAGCTGAATTTACCCAACAGCCTGAATGAGCTTGCAAGTGTATCCTTACCCAGACCTTCCACAAACACACAACCTTACTTTGGCTTCAACTTGAGAAGAACAGGATTGAAAACAAGCTAAACCAGTGTGCCTGGACTTCCAACCAGCACAAAGGAAACTTACTAATGAATATTGTTTTATGACACTAAATTTGCAATAATCTGTCATATTAGCAATAGAAAATCAATGCTTCAATATAGGACAAATGATTTGTAGATAATGAGAGCCAGGTTTCTCACTCTCAGAGAAAGGGTTTACAGGTAAAAATAAGGGAAACTGAAATGAACTCAGTGGCACTAGATCTCAATTGGAGGTATTCATGTGCATATTCACATATGAAAAAAAAAGAAATAGATGGTGAGATTTGTGTTGACATGAAAATCTTGGTTTTTAAAAGCCATCTTATAATACAAGGAACTAGGAATTCTGGTAGAAGGTAAAGTACAGGAGCAGAACAACCAGGAACATTTATTTATTTATTTATTTATGGTACTGGGGATTGAATCCAGGAGTAATTTACCATTGAGCTATAACCCTAGTATTTTTTTTTTTTGGTACCAAGGATTGAAGCCAGGGGGCCTTTACTACTGAGCCACATCCCCAGCTCTTTTGTGTTTTATTTTGAGACAGGGTCTTGCTAAGTTGCTTAGGGCCTCTCTAAGTTGCCAAGGTTGACTTTGAACTTGAGATCCTCCTGTCTCAACCTCCCACGTCACTGGGATTACAGGCATGCATTTGGCTTTTTTAATGTTAAGACAGCTTCTTGCTGAGTTTCAGCGTTCTCACTAAATTGCTGCGCCTGGCATGGAATTTGCAATCCTCCTAACTCAGCCTCCCGAGTCACTGAGATTGCAGGCAACACTGTGCTCAGCTAACCAGGAACATTTTATGGTGCTGAGCTGTACAAATATGCTCAATAATGATGTGCATATGAAACAAACAAAGAAACAATTACCAACATGATAGTGTTCCCAACTACCGAACGTAAGACAATTTAATGAATAAAAATAATATTCCACAGAATAAAAAAAAAAATCAATGTATACTTACACAATTGAGCAAACTTATCTGGGATAGCTCTTTCTTAGAGTAGAATCCTAATTAATATAAACTTAAAGAAGTGATGGAAATAGAAAATCATTGTTGGCAAAAAACAGATTAGAGTGCATGTAAGAGTCATCAATAAATGTCAGACTTGGGTGAAAGCTTGCTGAGAAATAAATATTTGCATGGTCTCCAAGTATCTACACAAGAGATATTTCTTAAAAACAAAGAAGGAAATAAAGTTAGACCAGTCATTGCTGGCGAACACAAAACTTATCAAAATGATCAAAAATCTACCATATACAGTCATCATATTGATACAATGTGCTGGAAGATCAGGGGCACCATTTTTAGAATTTTTGCCAAAAAATATATATCAGTATTAATCATTAGGAAACATCAGACAAACCCAAATTAAAGGATATTTTACAAAATCATTGGACAATCCTTTTCCAAAACATCAGGATCTTGTGTAGTAGCCAGCTTCTAGGATTACTCCAGTGACCCAGCCTTTTCATTTCTGTGGTTTCCTCCCACATTGTATCAGACGTGATAGGCAGACTTCTAAAGATGTCTCCCCCTCCCTGGTTGTTTCAACCTATGAATTTAGGTGCTGTGGTGAAGCATCTTTGCATAAGTGATTAGGCTTGCCATGGTTCTCTGAATGACAACAGAATGCAGCTTTTAGAAGGGATATGTCACTAATACTAGGTCCCACTAGATACTATAGTTTGAGTGTTGGTTGTTCTACCACTCTCCTTTCTATCCTTCACCCCTGCCATGTCTTCAGGCCCTATGAAGGGGACCACATGTTGGGGAATGGAGCTCTCTCACAGCCACATGAACACCCCTTCTTACAAGCAGATGATCCCATCCCAGGCAAGTCTTTCTAGGATTATAGTCCTAAGTAACTTCTTTACTGAAAACCCAGCGGAACTGCTCCTGAATTGCTGACCCACAGACACCATAAGAAAATAAATATTTTAAGTCACTGAAGTTTGGAGTTAATAAATATTCAGCAATGGAAAAGAAGCACAATAAGAAAGAAAGACTGAAGAACTATTTCAGATTGGAAAAGACTAAGAAACCATGAGAAATAAATTTAATGTGGGATTTAAGGAAAGAGCCAGACTAGGTAAAAACTATTAGAGTCCCATGTGATTTCTTCACAAGTATTTTACTGAGCATTTTGATAACCAAGATGAACTAAATATGTCCCTTATAAACCATATTACTTCTCTAAGTTTCAGATATTTTACAATAAACTATCTGCAACATGTAGCCTACTCATATAAATCTTATGTCACTCTGTCACACAGAAACTATCATGTGCAAGAATGTTTCTAGTATATATCTAATAACAAATGTTTTCTATTAAATACATCTGTTGAGTTACCAAAAATCATTGAATTCGTTAAATTTTATTCACCAAGTTCAAATGTGCACCAAGGTCCCTTTCCCATCCATAAACGTGTTTATATTCACAAACAGAGACAAGCCAAAATTTCCAAAACTGTGTTATTTAATAAGATCAAATGCTTAAAATAATCTAATACAAACATTCTGATTCAATGAAATATATGTACATTTATTTTGTATAATTGTTTACAATAAAAATCCTGAAAGAAATTTATACCTATATATTCCTCCAATTTACATGGTAAAGTCAAATATATTCAGTTTTTCTATATATAACAGTTTTACATTTGCATTTTCTACAATTAAGACAAAAATGTCTTAAAAGTTTTAAGATATATATCCAATTATGTACAAAATCCCATATGTCAACATATAAGTTCAACCTTACTTTAAAATCATTACAAATTGTGAGAAACACATATTCTGAAAAAATTTGTCCTAGAAGTAGCATATAACCTAGGTGGATACAAAAGTAAAAACCCATATAACCTAGGCAGATACAAAAGTAAAAATGATGATTATAAATTATAGTAGTGTCTGTATCACCTATTGTCAAAGGAGGTATTCTTTCTAAATATGTATATCATAAATAATGAATCCTTTTAAAGGCTAAAATTATTGGTTTATTCTATTTTCATTAAAATGTTTGTTAAAAATGTTATCATCTTATAAAACAGAGTATACTGAATACAATGTAGCCCTTGAGTACAAATGCCAATTATTTGATGACTTGTTCAAACTGTTTCTATGCATGGGGTGATTTTTTTGTTCTTCTCCCTAAATTAATTGGTCCTAGACTCACATGTTTGTATAATTACTTTCTATAGTTTACTTTCTTATTCTCATTTCACATTTCTATCAGTAAGTGTCTCAGATTTACCATTAGTTTACTTGCTATGAAATTTTCCCTTGCAGTTCTTTGTGTCCACACTAGCACCCTTCAGCCTAAATTCTATTTTAGCCTTAGTCCCAACAGGTAGCAGCATCTGAATGTGTCTGGCTGGGTGAGAGGAAGAGTCTCACATGAGGTAATGACATATTTGTTCCCCTAACTCTCACATTTGATTGCCGAAATTTCCCACTTCCCAAATACCTGAATTTTTGGCTTTCCAGGTTTAATTTTGGGTGCTTAAATGTTCCAGTTTAAGCAGCTCTATCTATCCCTCTGCTTCCTGACCTTCTGCTCCTCCCATCTAATAGCCAGGTATGCTTGCTTCATAACACCTCCATCCTTCTCCTTGAATTTCAGCTTATGAATGCTCCTAGGATCCTGAATACTCATCTATCACAGATTTCCACCAACCAATCTCTTAAATTCTGCAAATGTCTAGTCCTTCTGATCCTGGCTTCCCACTAGGTCTTTACTCTCTCTGTGATAACCTCATCACAGTCTACTAAAACCCTGCTTGGAGAAAAAAAAAAAAAAAAACCTAGGGGAAGGCTCTGATGGGGGAAATCTGATAACACTTTTCTAGTCAGTAAAATTTTTAACAATAGTAGAAGTTGTTTTGGTTGATTTGAACTAGTTCTTCTATATTCTGAGTAAATTTGACATAAATATGACCTACATAAATGAAGTTTATTTATAATTTTATCAGGTTTATGAAATACTTCACCTTTATACTAAATGCAGCAAAGAACAGGGTTTAATGTTTTAATCAAATAACAATAATAGATGCCTTCTATGTGCAAAGCCATATTGTAGGTAGTCTAAGTAATGTGCTAGGTTATCAGGTTTAAAATTAAGAAAAATTATTCTGTATACAAGTAATACCACATTAAGGAATCTTTTTATGTCTAATTGGCACTTTTCATTGTGGAAGCTGGTTCTTTCTTCTGAAATATATATAATTGAATAATACTATCACAGAACAAAAAAATAAGTATTAAAAATCAGCAACATAAAAAATCAGCTACTGGAAATCTTATGTTGAAATGAACTTGTATATTTGATGTTGAAATTTTTCATATACTGGGACACAAAGAAGGTAACTAACTTATATTCTAAATAGTTCAACAACTTAACTTTAGTAAAATAAAGATCAGATTAATATATGTAATTTAAAAACAAACATTGTAAAGCTGCCTTTAAATTCATGGGCTTTCACAATTCCAAGAAACAATGACATAACAGTGATTAGTTTAAATTTTTACATTCCAAGTTTTCCAAATACGCTTAGATTATTAGAGACAAAAATTAAAATGCAACAAGTTGTAAACAAAATAAAAACTTTTCATCATGGTGTTTTTTAAATATGGATTTTAAACTAATTTTTAGCTATTTTTCTTGCTATTGGTTGGAGATTTCATACCTAGACAGTGAAAAATAAGTGAGCCTGTGTGTGTTTTGAGGCTTTGGTTGGCTTTGAAGGCACAGGTCTGTTTCTTGTATGAAAATCAAGAGTCCATACATATGCAACAAACACATGTGATTATAAACCATCAGTGTTTAAAATACCATTGACTATACTCGGTAGATAATGCTGCTGTGGCACTGTGTTCTTAGAAATGGAGGTCAATTTTCCAACTGTCAAATAATCTTTTTCTCTTCACCCTTCATTTCCTGCTTTGTTGAGATCCCTTTCTACTGCAACCGTTGTCACAACTGCATTCTGATTTTGAAATGACACATCTGTGTTCAGTGGTGGTGGTTTATACAAAAAGATTGCAAATCCATTGAAGAAAATGGTGATAACTTTACAAGTAACAGCTAAATAGAAAAATAAAAATTAATTATGTATTTGGCCCTTTACTTAAATGTACAGTAATTATTGTATCCATGGTCATGATTGCACATTCTTGTCAAGTAATTGTTGTGTAGGATTAAGTAAATCCACTTTCCATTTACAACTTCAACACACTATCATATCTTAAGAAATTCATAAGTAACCAAGTGTCTGTGATAAAATAAAATAGCCTATATCATCCTTAAACTTGAATAAGTTGCAGGGTTTTCGTGTTCAAATGGGAAAAAAAAAAAAAAAAAACCCTTTGGAGTTCTTAGGAGAAATCTTCTACAGAAATATATCACATTTACTACTTAACCAAATTTACCCTGCTGTATTACCTAAAAATATGAAACATTAAGATTTACTTCACAAACTTTGATCTGTTTTCAAAGAACTCTGGTTTTGAAATCAATGAGGCAAAGAAAAACTAGCTCCAACCATAATACTAAGCATTTAATAAGTGCCAGTAGAATAAATTAAATGTGATCTTGCCATGTAGTTTTTCTAGAAGCTGATTTCTTTTTACTAATCATTACTATTTTATTTAAAAATGTATATTTGTAAATCAAGAATGCTCATTGATACAACCATTACTATATTTGTAGAAAGAGGAGCTACATAGATATACAAATATATTAGACTTCTCTATTTTTAAATATTCTAATTCCTTGAGTTATTTTTGAAATTTAAATTTTAAATTTATCATACTACTACACATTACATGTGCTACTCTACTTCCTTAATCTTAACTTTCATTTGCTATTTAACCAAAATATCACAGACCATAAAAGGTGAATAGGGTTAAGCATCAAGGCTAACCTTATAAACTATAAAAAATTTCTTACAACATGTCTCAGAATCAAAGGACACTTCCCTACAGCAGGTCTATGTTTTCCAAAGCCTGAACACCTAGATGACCATCATTCTCAGAATTTATCTTTATCTTTTGGGTAAACTCCCATAAAAAGTGTGAAAAAAATTTAAAAAGAAAATTATACGATGTGTGAAGTAATGAAAGTTAAAATTATACTTTCTAGTTAAGACTAAGCCTTGTGGGCTGGGGATGTGGCTCAAGCGGTAGCGCGCTCGCCTGGCATGCGTGCAGCCTGGGTTCGATCCTCAGCACCACATACAAAAAAAGATGTTGTGTCTGCCGAAAACTAAAAAAATAAAATATTAAAAGTTCTCTCTCTCTCTCAAAAAAAAAAAAAAAGACTGAGCCTTGAAGACTGTCTTCAAAGACTCTCATTACATAGTATAGCAAATGATTTCTGCTCAGGACTCCAGGATTGTCCATCAGTTTGCATTGAACTTTCCATAACTCCTATGACTTACGGAACCAAAAATGAGATTTTTTTTACTTCATATTTACTCTAAAGTTTTCAAGAAGTCACTTACCTATACCTACTAGCATATGAGCCATCTTTATGTTATCATAAATCCAGCAAGCACCTTTAATTCCACATTGATTAATATCCCAGAGAATACATGTGCTGTCGATCGTGACACCAAATATAATTGGTCCAGGTATTGTGCCTAGAAGAATTATAGGCAAAATACAAAAGGGTAAAGGTTACAGTTAGCAATCACACGTTTTTAATATACATAGCTATATGTGTATTTATATACATAAAAATGGGCACTAGATTGTCCATGAGAAAGTTAATCATTTCATGTACAAGGCAAAAAGACAGATAAAATACTTTAAAATAAATATATTTAATTATATATTTGTAATCAGTTCAAAAATACTAACAGAAATCTTAAGCATATATTATATTAAAATTTAACTTAATAATTCATTGTTTTTATAATTTAATGAATATGCATTTGAAATTAGCTATTATAGATTTTAAAATTAAAATGCTTATTCATAATATAAAAGTAAGTCTGTTGAACTATAATACATGTGTTGTGTATACAAATTAATATGAATTTGTATGAGTACACTCATATATGTAACATGTTAATAAACATGAGTATTTCTTACACACCCACACACACACACACACACACACACACATACACACATTATTGGAGCCAACCAACAATAGGTTGAAAATGCTTTTTAAAATATTCATCTATACTGAACACGTGCAGACTGTTTTTCTTTGTCACTATTCCTTAAACAATATAGTATAACAGCCGTATTGTTACATAGCATTTACATTGTTTATGTATTATAAGTAATTTAGAGATGATTGACCTATATGTATTTGTATATTTTTATGTGGTGCTAAGCATCTAAGCCAGTGCCTCACACATGCTAGGCAACTGCTTTGCCACTGAGCTATAGCCCCAGCCCAGATTGACCTATATGGAAGAACAGGATATGCCTAAATTATATAAAAATACTAAGCCATTTTACATTAGGGACTTGAGCATCCAGTGATTTTGGTATCTGCAGGGGTTTGGAACAAATCCTCCAGTGACACTCAGAGATGACTGTAGTCAAGACACTTCCAACAGTTACAAGTCAAATGTCAGATTTCCAGTAGTACTTCTGAGAAAAAAAACAGGCTATATCTGCTCTGTGCTTTCATGACATGTAGCATGATAGAGTCAAAAATAACTTGATTGGGGCTGGGGTTGTAGCTCAATGGTAGAGTGCATTCCTAGCATGTGTGAAGCACTGGGTTCAATTCTCAGCACCACATATAAAAAAATAAAAAATAAAAAAAGTCTATCAACAACTGAAATTTTATATATTAGTGCAATTGACTGAAAAAGGACCATTTTCCTGGTCTCATTTCCATTATTAATTGTGTAACTATGGACAAAACCCTGAATCCTTCAGAAACTTAATTTACTCATCAGAAAAATAAGAAATTTGTTTTAGGTAATCTCTAATGTTCTTTTTATTTTTATTTTAATAAATTATCACAATATTATGTTTATTATATTTCTTTTTTATTCTTCCTACATCTGCAAATTCCCATATCTAAAAACTTAGAAAATTCTCTAGACTATATTATTTCTCCCATCGGTTCTTAGTTTGTAAAAATGTCTACACCACTGTTGCTACTGACATATTTTAACTCATTAATTTTTACTGTTAATGCATCATAACAGTGTCACAAATAAAGATAAAAACAGGGATAAATTAAATTATGTATTAAAGATTTTATTTTATATTCTAAGTAAATTTGATACATCTTATAAAGTTATATTTGCAACAGGGTTGGAAACAACCCTGGGTTGTGAAAAGTTGTCATCATGCTATCATGTGGTATATAATTAATGTTACATCCTGAGTATTAGAAAATAGCTTTCTTAAATGACAATTACATAGTTTTCCTCTTTATTTTAATTATTTTCTTGGCATATACCATATAGAAATAGATTCATAAAATCAATGAACCAAAATAGCCAACAATTACCAATGAAATGACATACCTAATAATCGAAGTAACATGAACTGTATTCCTAATGCTAGAGATCGTTGATTTTGATTAACACACCTGGAAATATTAAATGCAAGTGAGACCAAAAAAGGTTATATAGAATAATCACTCTTCGAACAAGTTCATATCTATATCAGTTTAGCATTTTGATATAAAAGTAAATGTGCATATAAATAAACAGGTTATTTAAAAGATCTTATAGTTTATTCATTCGGGGATTATAAAAGAAGAAAAGTTTCATCAGAATTAAATAACACTAAAAAACATCACCAGACCCTATGAATTTTAACAAAGGTAAAGGAGAACAGTCACGTTTAAATGTTCCCTCTACACCTAATCTCTCAAATATTAGGTATAGAGGGAACATTTTCATATATGAAAAACCTATAGCTAGCATCATAATTAATGGTGAGAAACTGGAAGCCTTTCCTTTGAGATAGGAATATAATATCACAATTTCTGTTTATCACAGTATTTGAATTCCTGACCAAAGTTCTTAGGTAAGAAAAAGAAATAAAAGGCATAAAAATTGGGAATAAAGAATTAAAACTGTCTTTTTACAGATGATTTATATTAATTATTTATATGTGTGTGAAAAAAAATATATATATATATGACTCCACCAAAAATATTAGAATTAACAAATGAATTTAGTAAAATTCTGGGACTGATACAATAACAATAAACTATTCAAAAATTAGGTAAATCTAAGTAATCAATCCCATTTACAATTGCATAAAAATATGTAGGAATAATAGTAATCAAAGGAGTATAGTTTGTGCACTAAAAATATAAAAAAAATAATGAAAGAAATTGAGGAAGACACAAATAAATGGAAAGGTATCCTATGCTCATGGATTAGAAAAATTAATAGTTAAAATATATCTACTACTCAAAGTATTCTACAGTTTCAATATAATTCCTATCAAAATGCCAATAGCATCATTTACAAAAAATAGAAAATATAATACTAATATTCATATAGAAAGATTCAGAATAGTTAAATCAATCTTGAACAAAAAGAACAAAGCTTAAGGCATCATACCAACCAATTTCAGAGTATAGTACAAAGATATACAAAGGAAAAAATATGATTCTGGCATACAAGATACACACACACACACACACACACACACACACACACACACCACCCACCAATTGAACAGAATAGGAAGCCACAAAGTAAATCTATATAATTGACCTTTGATGGAGGTATCAAGAACATACTATGGGCAATTAAGATTTTCTTCAATAAATTGCATTGTGAAAACTAAATATTCACATGAATAAGAATGAAATTGGATCCTTAACTCGTAACATGAGTAAGATCAATTCAAAATGGATTAAAGACTTAACCACAAGACTTGAATATTTAAAACTTAAGCAAAAAAATAGCATATAACAGTACAGTTACTTAGCATTAGTCTGGTCAGTGAATTTTTAAATGTATGAAACCAAAAGCATAGGCACAAAAGCAAAAATAGATAAATGAGATTATATCAAACTAAAATGTTTCTACACTGCAAAGGACACAATCAAAGTGAAAAGATAACCTATAGAATTGAAAAAATATCTGCAAACCATACATTACATGAGGGGTTAACATCCAAAGGAAATCAGATACTAAAACAAGAAAATAGCTAGAAAGAGAATCCAATTCAAAAAATAACCAAAATATAATTTTGCAAGGAATATATACTAATGGTCAACAAGAATATGAAAAAAAGTCTCAACATAAGAAATCATCAGGGAAATGTAGATCAAAATCAGAATAAACTAAATAAATTAAATAAACTCACACCTATTGGTGTAAATATTATAAAAAATATATAATGGATAACAAATGTTGGCAAAGATTTAGAGAAAAGGGAAACATAGCATATATTAGAAAGAATGAACACTGGTATGGTCATTATGAAAGGTAGTATACAGAGGGTCCTCAAAAATTAAAATTAGCATGTGATTCAGCAATCTAACATCTGATTGCATATGAAAGGGAATGAAATAAGTATGTCCAACAGTGTTCATTGAAGTATTCCCAATAGCTAAGATATGGATTCAACCTAAGTGAATGGATAAATAAAATGTGACAGATGATACTATTCAGCCTTATAAAGCAAAGGAAATCTTGCTATTTGTTACAATATGAAGAAACTTGAAGATATGCTAATGGAAATAAATAAGATAAAGACAAAATACTACATGATCTCATTCATATGTGGATACTTTAAAAAACAACAACTTCACATAAGTATAGGGAACAATTAATGATTGGCAGAAGCTGAGGGTGAGGAAAGGGGGTGATGTTAGTCAAAGGGTAAAATGTTTCAATTACTCAGGGCAGGTTCTGGAGATGGGATGCACAGCATGGGGACTGCACTTAATAATACTGTATTGTATGCTTGAAATATGTTAAGAGTAGATGGGAGGGCTGGGATTGTAGCTCAGTGGTAGAGGACTTGCCTCAGTAAGGCAATCGTGAGCCACTAGGTTCAATCCTCCGCAGCACATAAAAATAAATAGATAGATAGATATTGTGTCCATCTACAGAAAAAAAAATTAAAGTAGATGGCAAACATTCTCACCACACACACAAATGATAATTATGTAAGATGATATAAATATATATATATATATATATATGTGTGTGTGTGTGTGTGTGTGTGTGTGTGTTTGATTGTGATAATCATTTCAGTGTATATATATTTTAAAATATTGTATTACACACCTTAAATATATTCAAATTTCATTTGCCAATTAAATCAAATAAATCTGGAATTTTAAAAAAATAAACTAAAATTTATAAAAAAAATGCTGAGTTTTTACTATCATTTTTAAGTTGCAAGCACATAATTCTTATTCCCTTTCTAACTTTGATACAGAAATCATACCTATGGAATAGGGTATATATCTGAGACAGATTCAGGGATGAATCTGAAGCTCCATTTGACTCAACAATAATTCTTCAAGTCATAAGTGTCAAACATTAAAGAGACACAATGTTGATCACAAGAAGAAAATCATATGAAAGATAAAAGACAACCACCAGTCTTTTAAAACAAGTAGTTGAAAGTAATTTCTATAATTTTTCAAAAAAAATTAAAAGCATTTTCCTCTTCTTTAAATACTTCCAATTTTCATGTTGTGTAGTGTTAACTACTTAATGTTTTCAGAATAGAATCCAGAAACATTTTTTCATCAAAAAATACATGAGGGAGCTGGAATTGTGGCTCAGTGGTAGAGCACTTGCCTGGCAGGTGTGAGGCCCTGATTTCGACCCTCAGCACTGCATATAAATAAATAAAAGATCCACTGACAACTAAAAAAAATATTTTTAAAAATACATGAAAAGGTAGCAAGTGACTATTATGAAACAAAATGTTGAAACAAGAAAATCTACAGCTTGCTAGGAAAAATACAGAAAGGCTGGTGAGTCCAAGGTAGGGCAGCTAGCAAATAGTTTTGTAAAGCTCAATATGGAAAAAAAAAAAAAAAAAAGGAACAATTGAAAGCATAAAAAGCAAACATCCAGGTGACAGCCAGCTCCTTATTGAAGCCCTGTCTCCAGGAGAATTTACTTTCAGAGCACCTCATGTTTAAGGCAGAATGCATGTCATTTCTAATTCTGGCTTACAGGGAGTGCTCTTCATTTCCATGATGCCCAAATTGAATTGAATGTATCTTCAGCTCACACAAAAAGAAGCTTTATAAAAACAGGCAGAGAAAAACCAAGTACATCCCAGGTAGTCAAAGTTAAGATGCTTTCACACAATCTGATTTAAACTCCATATATCTGGGGATCTGTTAGGTTACTTTTCCAATGCCACAGAATTAATGAGTTTGCAAGGGCTGAAGTTGCCACGGAGTCTATTTTTCTTTTAACTCAACATGTTGCCTCAGAAAATGCAGATTCACAACTGATACATACCTTAATATGGACACAGTTATTGGAGTACCAGCCATAAAGGTAAAAATAATTGCAACAAAGAAAATGCCAAGAAATATGGGCAAGTTCGCACAGTGAGTTTCACATTTTCCTGCTTTAGCTTCAAAACCAAAATTATCTGCCATAGGTGTTATTTCTGCTTTCCTTTCAATACAGGAACAGTTGTAATATACCTGGAAAAGTTAGATATAAAACACTGTATTTATTCTGAAAATAGATTGTTATCATTGTAAATAAGCTGATCTCTTTAGACTTGGCAAAACTTTGCATACTGTCTTAATCCATATACAATAAATAATGATGAGAAAGAGTAATTAACCCTAAAAAATTAAGTAAGTAGAAACAAACCATACATTTGCAGTAGAATCATCTGTAGTTTGACTTGTGTCATTACTTCAATATGTAACTTACTACTGTCTCATAACTTACAAAACAAATTGATAGCAGTTATGTGATCTCACACACTTTAGGTTTTCATTAGACCATAATTGTTTAAATAACTTTATTCTTTTCCACTACAGAAAGCGAAGACTATAGTAACAATCTTATTATCTGCAATAGTTTAACAGCAAACACTAGAATTGTGACAAGTGTCATAACTAACACATCCTAAGGATTTGGAAAAAACAACTTGCTTCTTTTAATTATAACCTTCTAACTGTAATTTTTTGAACTTATTGGAATTACTTTAGTGCAAGTAAAACTATCCTTCCTAACACAGTAGGTTGATGACAACAAAACAATAGACATGACAATATCATCATCCTACAGACTATTTTACATATATACTTAGTATGTATAGAAATATACTTATGCATATAATGATAATATGAAATAGTAAAAGCTAGCATGATCAAAAAAATCACATGGTTTTCCTTTGTAGAAAAAATAATTCAGATAAGTAAAAAGTTGGTTAGGCTATGCATGATGGTGCTCGGGACCATCTGTAGAAGGATCACAAGTAGAAGGATCACAAGTCTGAGGCCAGCCTCAACAATTAACCAAGATGCTGTCTCATAATAAAAAGGGCTGGGGATATAGCTCAGAGATAAAGCATCACCAGCTATAATCCCCAGGACCACAAAAGGCAACTTAAGAAATAGATAAACAAATAAAATAAAAAATAAAAAGTTGGTTAGCCACAATTTTTTCTTAAAAGCATTTTAAATCTGAACTGCATTCCTACTATAAATCTTTTAACACATTTTAAATCACAGCCACCATCAAAAAAAAGTCAGGAAAGTCAAAGAAAGTTGATGTTTTATAGTTCCAATAACCAGAGACCTTTCTTCAGTGCTAAGAAAGCAGTTTTAAGACCACTGGCATGGATACAGGAAACCAAATATGAAGATGAGACCTCCAAAACTAATACATACTAAGCAATTAGATGTATCAAATAATAAAGTAATTCATTTAAAATTGTAAGAGGGTAAACTGAAAACAGGATTTTTTATTATGATAAAAACTTCACAGCTCTCTTACATAAAATACACATTTGCCCATGAAGTCTGTTTTTGTAGTTGAGGGCACAGGTATAAAATATAAGATGAATATTGTTGTGAGAAAATGTGCATATGTATTTATTACTTTTTATGCATTTTTCATATATTTATTTTTTTTATTTTGTCTTTTTTGCATTTTGCCTATTTAAACTATTCCATAAGAACAAATGTCTTGTGAATCAATGGTTAGTGATGTGGACTTGCTGAACATAAAAATCCAAGACAAAGACAATATTTGGAAGTCAAAATAACTTGTTCTTACTATACAATATCCAGATGGCAATTTTCTGTGTAAGGAGGTAATCATCTTATTACTTGGTCAAAAATACAAATGCAAATTACCCATATCAAAATCATCAAAGGTACTCCAAGTGTGCTCTGGGTGTTAGATTTTTCATCAGCATTTCCTTAAGCAGGATGGTATTTGTGTCTGTACATTTTTAGTTATGCATTTAAAATCTTTCTAATAATTTAACTCTTTAATATTTATATGTAAGAAAATGCTACCTACTTATCCACCTCTCAAAGGAATAGCTACCTGCTAAGTAGTTCTGATTCTAAGGTATCCACCAAGGTCACTTGTGGAATTTGATTCTTTTTAACTGATACAAACACCTGGTTTTCTTTAGGTGTTTTGAAGCTAAAGCAGTTCCAGATATCTACTTGATTTGAAGGAAAATAAACCTCTGGGGATTAAATTCTTTAAACTTCTTCTGAAGTTTTTTAAATTTTCTATAGCTACTTCTTGATAATGATCTAATTATCAAAAATATAATTCTAAAGATTAAACCTCCATACAATATCATCAAAATATTTTATCAGGTATATTATGAGTTGCCACTAACATTTATATGACAGATTATTAAATGTTGTTTGATAGTAATTTAAAAGTATATAGGATAGAAAATACAAAAAATGTTCACTGTTTCATATTTTGTTTTACCCCAGGCAGGATGCTCACATGTTGAGATACACATTGAATGTATTTATTACATATAAAACCATTAAGGATATGTGTGTGTGTGTTTGTGTGTATGTGTTTATATATATACAAATGAACATATAGTGTACATAATTCACACACATACACTCACACATGTTGGTTTGGGAAGAAATTGGAAGTCTTTCTAATAACATAAGTGATGTTACAAAAAATATGTGAATAATTGCCAAATTGATATTTCAACAAGAACCACTTGAGTCATAAAGGAAGAAAGGTGTTTATCATCAGCAGGTTTGGGGTTTCTTAATGGAGGAGGGACAGGAAGATAAAGTAACTCCACTATAGGATCAAAAGAACTATCATAAATACACACATTGCCTCATTAAAGGTAAAGTAGCAGACACACTTACCTTTGTTTTCTTATCTGAAACAGAATTTGAACAACCTGCAAAGCATGGAGAAAAATACTGGACTCCATCTATTCCACAGAGTGGATAATAATAGGATCGTGAACAGCTACAATTGCTATTACAAGGGGCTGTCAATTTTCCCAGTTCTCCTGTTCTGTAAATAAGAAAAGACAGAAGATCAAATTCTCTATGACATAACTTTTTTAAAATTTGTTTTATTTTAGTTACACATGACAGTACAATGATCTTGACATATCATACATTTGAATCAGATGGGGTATAATTTCTCATTTTTCTGAGTATGTCATAACTTTTTTGTGATACTAAGGTTTGAACCCAGGGCACTCTATCACTGAGGTACATTCTCAGCACCACCCTCCTTTATTATTATTATTTTTTTTTTTTTTTGAGACACAGTTTCCCTAAGTTGCCCAGGTTGGTCTTGGCCTTTAAGGTCACTGGGATTTCAGTTGTGCACTACCACACTCAGCTCTAGGTCTTAACTTTTAAAGACAAGTTCAGAGTATTGTCATATCTTCACATTCAGTCATTTATTCATTCACTGAGCACAGATTACTGACCATATAACACAAAATTTCCACCTTTGCACATACGCTTACTTTCTTGTGATGAGAAGCAGTAAAAATAATAGTTTTATAATGCCTGCCAGTGATGAAGAAGGAGGAGGAGGAGGAGGAGGAGGAGGAGGAGGAGGAGGAGGAAGAGGAGGAAGAAAATCAGAATAAGCAAAGAAGGCAGATTTTCGTTCTGGTGATAGACAATGATTGTGTAGACTGGTTCTGTGAATTGTGGGATGTTAAGCAGCATCCCCAAACTCCAGCCACCAGATGTCTGTCAATAGTGTTTTCCTTGGTTTTGAAAGCCAAAAAGTCTCCAGACATTTGCCAAATGTCCCCAGGTATTATGTTCCCAGAATTTTTATCCAAAAAAGGATGAATAAAATCATGTCATTCAATATATTCAATTTACCAATGGGAAAACTGAGGCCTTGAAAGATTAGGTTACTCTTCTGTATTTGCCAAATATACTTTTCCTGATCCCCAGGCCTAGGGTCATTTTAAAACTGCTTAACAGAAAGCAATATCTTTCATGATATAATGAGTTACTTTAATCAAAGATGCTTCCTCAATGCATCATTCATTCATTCAACCATACATACTGAACAAGTGTTAGGACCTATGCTAGGTAATGGGAATACAAAGCAGCATACGATAGTCCCTGCCCTCAGAGACTTCAGGGTCTAGGAATACAGTAATACATAGACAATTGCATAGTAACATGTAACATGAGTATGGTTAGATATTTCCAAAGTGCATTCTAGAAGAACCAGAGACAGTCACCTAACACTAGCCAGAGTTTGGAGGAGAGATACTGGAGGAGCTACTGCCTGAGATGAGTCTTAAAGGATGAGTAAGATATGGCTGGGCAATGAGGTGGAGCGGGGTTCAGAAAAAGCTGGCACAAAGGTATAGTAGTGAGAAACAGCATCCTGTGGATGTGGAAAAATATAAATGGTGTCTGAAGTCAAGAGTGAGAGGAAATGTACTTGGAGAGGAATTAGGGACCAGATTAAGTAGGCTCTTCGAGGTCCTTGTTACAAATAATAAACTTTAACCTACGGGCAAAATATAATAAGTATTTTTTTTGGGGGGTGGGAGTACTGGGGATTGAACTTAGGAACACTCAATCACTGAACCACATCTCCAGTCCTATTTTGTGTTTTCTTTAGAGACAGGGTCTCACTAAGTTGCTTAGCGCCTCATTTTTGCTAAGGCTGGCTTTGAACTCACAATCCTCCTGCCTCATCCTCCCAAGCTGCTGGGATTACAGGCATGTGCCACCACACCAGCCAATAATAAGTATTTTTATAACAAAAACGACATTGCAGAAGTTCATTTTCAAAAAGTAATCCTAGAGGTTGTGCAGAGTATGGACTTGAAGAAAGGAGACCATCTAGAAGACCCCAGACAACAGGTGATGACTATACAAAGTAGAACTGTTATTTTAAGATAAAAAACATGATTACATGTAACTATTATTTTGACTGTCTTCCCCCCACAAAGAGATAAGCCTATGTGCAAAGACAGATATTTCATTTTTTTCATTCAGTGGTCATATGTTGAATGAAAAAAATAAATAAATGGCAAGATATGGCAATGCTCTGACCTGTTCATTAAAAGTTTATAACTTTTAAATCAACCAAAATTATGAAAAAAAATCATAACTTTTAATGAACATAGATAATTTGATCTTTTGTTTTATTTACAGTACAGGAAAACTGGGAAACAGCCCCTCGGAATGCAATTATAACTGTGATTCTATTGTATTTTAAAATACAAGAAAATGTGCAGGAAATAGGTTGGAGAAAAATTTTGGTTGTGCAGTCAGTAATATCTGATGATTTGCTAACTGATTGAAGAGTGAAGGATGGAAAAGTCAAAGGCAACTCCCAGTGGTGCAATAAAGAAGGAGAATCAGTTTTGAAAAATAGGTAACAAGTATGGTTATATATGTACAGAGATTAAGAGTCTCAAATTTGGTAAAGAACACTAGCCTGAAGCTAGAAATCTTAAAAATCTATTTGCATACAAATATAGCTAAAACCAGGAGCCTTATAAAACCAGCCAAGTAGAGCCTTGTGAGAAGAGCTTAAGGTGTAGGGGGCCCACCTGCTAATGACCGGGCAGTGAGCTCCAACTTTGCACTAAACTACCAAAGTGGTAGCAATACATCTAAAAGTGTTTCTAAAATGCACTTACCAGATATCTAACCAAAAAACCAGGGCCAGAGGTGAAAGGGAGAAAAACAGAAAGAGAGAATGATAAATCCATGCCACCTTGAAGCTAAGCTAACTCTTTCACACTGGAAATCAAACAGTAAATGAATTAGCATATCCAAGTACTAGCTGATAATATTGCTAAACTGAAAAATGGCATTTTAGTAGGTAGAGAATGAGAGGTTCGTGAAGGAGATAGATTAAAGAGAAAGGTAGAAAACACACCATAAACAAGTGCATGGGAAGTGTGAAGGAAAGTGTTGTCAAAAGAGTAGATTATTATAAGTTATCTGTCACTCTGCCTGGAGTCTCTCCTTAGTCTAACCTATTCTACAGGCTGTTGCCAGGTTTATGATTTTATTGACAAACACAAACATTACCACCTCAACCCACAAAAAATTTCCAGCACAAATATAGAGAGAGGACTAGAGAGAAACTAACCCTTCACCTTTAGAAATAGCCTTAATACAATAATTTTCAAATTTAAATTTTCTAATATATAATTCTCATGTTATTTATAAATAATTACTGAGAATACACAAAGTATAAGATAGAACTGTGAAAACTACAGTGCATAGAATGTACATTTTATTATGAAGAGTAGGTCACTTTAGCCTACCTATTTTATAAAGATTTATTTTGTAAGGCAAAGGAGAAACTATTAGTAGAAAAATAGTAAGAGTTTGCCAAGTATATGGTTTACATGTACGTACCTTTAGAATTACTTTTAAATATTTTACTTTAAATATTTTAATGTTTTAAAAATAGGCATGTTTATCACAAGTAGTAGAATTTAAACACTAAGTTTTTATTTAAATTCAAACTATCACTCTAAAATTATGCCTCTACAATAGGCAAGTAATTCCCTGAAACTATAGCAATAATAGTTATGCCTTTTTCAAGAGCTATTTCATAAGCAAAGAAAATGTAGCTATGGATAAATTCAGAAAAAAAATATTGTATGTACTTACTATGGAATATCATATTTTATAAGGTTTTAAATACAAAATGAAACACAAATCACCATCACCAGCACTAATTACCAAATTAAAACACAAGGATTTTATCAAATGTCAAGGCAATATAAAAATGTTAGAAAATTGTATGTGGCAGAGTAAAGATTCTCTGCACCTCTATACTAGAAACTGCATCCTCACAACCTTTCTCTTCCTCCCTGAAGTGGCCCTTCTTGAGCTTCTTGATTTGCTCTTTCCTTTTTCTTATACTCATGTTTCTTGGATGAAGCTATTTTGACTAAGTGGTCATGACATAAACATTTTAATGTGCAGGTATAGAGGCTAAAATTAAGAATCGGGGGGGGGGGGGCACAGGGAAAAATAATCAGACATTGTCACACCTACTTTGTGACATCAAGCCCTATCTCTATTTATAGCTCTCTATACACACATACATAAACATGGGTGAATGTGGGTTTGTGTATGACACTAACTTTCAGGGTTTTTTTGCACCACCAAGAGATGTGCATATATATTAATCACTATCTTTGTGTTCCAGATTTTGACATACCTTGATAATCAATCCCTATATCCTCCTCAAACTCAAATAACACACCTTGACTTTTTAACTGATTATGCTAAGGAAAGCTCACCTGGTAGTAACACTTGTGGAGAACAGAAAAATATCAAGTGAATTCATATCTATCTTGTTACTTGGAATAATAAACTATTTAAAATTTTGTTTTTCTAAAAAGAATATAGAAAAAAAAGTGCTTTGTTGTGATAAGTTCGTGTAAAGTTTATAAGGATGAAAGTCAGGTCTACACAACTTACTTCTATCTACTTTTCAACATTCCTAGATATTTTTCTAATATTTCTAGACATATAACATAAGAAGCCCCATTCAAACTGATCCTTGAATCTAGCCTTCACTTTTTAAAGCATTTACACCTTTGGCTTAACATGGTTCCTCTCCTCTATCTTCCCCTCTTCTCTAACCTATCAATCTCAAAATTCTTGTATCTCTAACTGATTTAAACTCAATTTTTTATATGGCCATGAATTCATTCTGAATCTAATCAAATCAAATAGAAAGCTCTCCTTTTGATTTACACAGCAATTTGTACATCCTCAATGACTTAAGTCATTGTTCATTCACTATTGTGCTTTCAAACCTCTCCTTTAGAATAAGGATTTTGCAGAGCAAGCATTCAACAAGTGTTGAATACATGTTATGGAGCTTAACCAAACACTACTTTAGAACACTGGGCATCACACTGATGTGAAGGAATGACAGACATGTGAATAACAACTACAAATCATGATTATTGGTATTGGCAAACTTTCCAAACAAATTACAATTCATTTTACCATCTGAAATGCTGAATAACACAGAATTATGGTGTCCTGGACCTGGAGTACCACCTCCCTCAACAGCCTCATGCATATCTAATGAAATAATTAAAGCACTACTGTGAACTAGAAAATGCACTGCTGTGTAATGCCCCCTGCCTGATCTCCCTCTCGTGTCTTAGGATTTCAAAGCAAAATAAATAAGGCAAAGAAAGAAAGGAAAATAGTCAAACTGGTTAGAGGTAGAAACACATTTATAGCACAGATTAGCAAATTACATATTTCTCTCCAACACACATAAATTTCTAAGTAAATACAACAATGGTATACCTGGGACTAGCCTCATTTTAATCTTTTATTTTATTTTCAACCCAACTATTAAGAAAATTTCATATTATGGAATAATCTTAATTTTAAAAAATTAATGGGAAAATAAAATGTGAAATTCTACCCACACTGTTTTCTTAGTTTGTTTTCTTGTTGCTATGACAAAATACTTTAGTCTGGGTAATTTACAAAGAATATAAATTTATTTGGCTTATAGTTCTGGAGGCCAGGAGAAGTCCAAGGACACAGTGCCAGTATCTGCTCAGTATTTGGTAAGGGCCTTCTTGCTACATCAGAGCATGGTAGAGGATATCATAAAGCAAGACAGAGAAAGAAAGCCGGCTTGAGGTCTCTCTTCCTCTTCTTATAAAGCCATTAACATCATCAGGGAGGTTGTACTCTAGATATTTCCTCTTATTCTAAGTATCTTCTAAAGACCTTACCTCCAAATACTATTGACTGGCCTGGGGATATAGCTCAGTTGGTAAAGTGTTTGCTTTGTGTGCATAAGGCCCTGGGTTCGATCTCCAGCACCACAAAAAAAAAAAAAAAAAAAATACTATTGCCCTATAAAGATGGAAATTATTTCAACACATATACATTTGGGGAACACATTCACATGGTAGGTGTGAATCTCTTAAGCAAATATTGTGTTGTATTAGTCTTAGTAACCCTGAGGCAGGTATAGTGCCCACCCAGTATGTGGTATTTGCTTCTTAAAAGCTCTTTGAACAAACGCAATTTTTTTAAAGAAAATATCAATTATTCAGACTAAAAGCAAAACAAAACAAAAAATTCTACATGCTCTTTCATAGAAATAAAAAGCCTTCTAAGTAAAAAAAAGTCAATTAATCATAATTTAAGAATGCATATACTTGTAAATGCATACATAGTTTGCTATTCTGATAGTAATATAAAAAAGCATTGAAATATATTTACCCATTATATGATTCAGACACACCAGCAAATGGCTCATTTTCACATTTGGCATAAATAAATATAAGACTCAGCATAAGTGCAACTCCAGATGTGAACAATGCAAATTTCATTGTATTTTTACATGTCATTTTGAACTTTGAAACAAGAACACCTCCTAAAATCTGACCAAGAGCAGCTCCAGGAATCAAAACAGCTCCTAAGGAGAAAAAAGGCGAGAGAGAAAACACAGGAATACTGAGTAAATCAGACTGACAACTGGGAAAACGTAAAAAGCAAGCAACAATATGGTTTAACATACAGAAGTTTTCAGCCAACATTAAAATACTGCATAAATGAAAGTAGTTTTATTAAGTAAGGGTTTAGTAAAATTAACTATTGAACATGAAGATATTCTCTTTAGCCTGATAGAATTGTCTATCTCAGATTCATACAATAAATTTTCATAAAATCAGAAACTTTTATCCAAACAAGTATAAAGTGTAGAGGCTGGGGTTGTGGTAGAGCACTTGTCTCACACATGTGAGGCACTCAGTTCGATCTTCAGCACGACATAAAAATAAACAAAATAAAAGTATTGTGTTCATTTACAACTAAAAAGAAGAAAAAGAAATTGAAAATGTTTTTTTTAAGTATAAAGTGTATATTTCAAGGTGCAAGATATTCAAAATTATATATTATCCTACTGAAAATGTGTTGTTGTGGTAAAGTAAAATTATTAGATTAAGTTAGGACAAAGAAAAAGTTTTACCTCCAAGGGTAGCTGCAAAGCTGGATGACAGTCCAAATTGATTTTCTATAAATTTAGGTAAAAATGTTGCAAATCCAGTAGTAACTAAGGCTTCTGAAGAAGTTGATAAAACTAAACACATAAAGACAGTATTCCTCATCAAATTCTAAAGAAAAAAATACAGTTCACCAAATGAATAACTAAGATTATACTGCGAAGTGCAGCATTAAAATGGTAGCATTGTGGAAATATCAAAACTTTTAATAAACACAATATTAGCCTTTAAAATTACAGCATTCTCTCTAGCATCAAAATATAACTAAGGATAATTAATAGATTTACATATGTATCAATGAGAAAATGGGTAGGTGAAGCATCTAGAGAATAGAGACTTCATCAATGCCATGATCATGCCTTTATTACACTCAACAGGCTAGAGACAGAAGGTAGAAGCTCACTTGGAGAGGTTTCCTTACCCACACTTATTATTATAGATGCATGTACTATATATCCACTTATTTGATTTTTAATTGTGTTTTGAATTCTTATGTCCACTAAACAAAAACCTTGAGACTATGAGCACAGATGAGATTGGTCTCTAAGGATCATAATGACACTCATAGAATCATTTCATGATTAAAAGGAGTCTGAAATTTAGAATAAAGTTGAGCAAATAAATAGGTGTCTTTTTACTGGAATGCTTCTAATCTTTATGCTTAAGCATTAACTAGAAATCAGATACATGAAAATTTTTGCAAGTTGACACATGGAAAATCAATATCATACTAACCTAGAATTTCAACTGCAACACATTTACATAGAAAAGAACAAACAGTACCCCAAAACTCCTGGAATTAAAGTGGGATGACCCTCAAAATATTCATTTAGTCAGAAATATTATTCAGACATCCAAGGATATTAGGTGATATCCCATCTAAGGAAAAGCAGCAATAAAACTCCGTACTCATAGAGAACTGAATCAGTATAGGAATTTCTACACAGAAGGTATAAGGATAAAAAAAATGGAAACCAATAATTCTTGAAAGTATTTTTGTAAATTATAATTTATAAAATAAGTTAAGGAAAATATATGAAACAGAACAGACTTACTGTAGGAGAAAATAATAGTAGTTGGAATTAAGTTATGAACAAGCTTACAAGATGTGCACATGTGGAGAGGAGAGGAAAGGTGGCTGAGGGAAGAAGTAAAAGGCTTCAGTGATAAGTGATCAGGCACTGCATAAGGGAAATAAGAGAGGAAAATGGGCTAGCGTGCCCAAGAGGGACCACAGATTATTGATATCACCAATAAAATAACTCATGCTTTTTCAGCTATTCTACTCTGGAATAGTTGTTCTCAAGGGGAAAAAAACTAAATCTGAAGAGATGTTGATAAAATGTAGAATTTCAGTAAATGAGCAAACAAAAATATACTACAAAAAGGTTTGTATGTGTGTTTTACATATGCATTATGTACATGCAGATGAGGGATGGAAGGAAAGTAAGGGGAAAAAAGTGAAAGTGAAAACAGTTTATTTCACCTTCAGAGCAGCTGGGAAATCTTTAAAACTTTTTCCAAAATTCTCATCTGTGTGTTGCAAGGAACTACTCTTATTCTGATGAGTCTGGGAAATTTTTCCAGCTTGAATTTTTGCTGTACCTGGGGAAAAAATAGTAAACGTACTTGCTCTATCATTTCACTCACCATTTAAAAAAATGCTTACTTTTTAATTGACACAAACTTCCACAGCTATGTAAATTCCATAACAAAAGAGGTCAGTTCCTCTCTGTCAACAAAATAGTACAAATATTTATGTCTGCGATGAGGCCGGCCCAAGAGCTAACTTTCATTACACTGCCTAAGGAAGTTCCAACCAGTCTAACCATTAAAATGAGACAATTTTGCTCATCTCCTATAAACTTTCTTCATTTCAAGTCCCTTAACATGTTGTCTACATTTCAAATGTTTCTCTTTCTCATCCTTTATATATTAAAGTACATTGTAGCTATTTTCTCTTTTCTTCTAAGATGCTTGGCAGATGAAAAATAATATTTACTATCACAATGTCCCTTTTATTTTTAATTTTATTATTTAATTTTGTACTGGAGATTGAACCTAAGTGCACTTTACCACTAAGTTATATCCCCCAGTCTTTTTTTTTTTTTTTTTTAAGTAAAAGTCTCACTAAGTTGCTGAACGTCTACATTGGTGTGGCTGGTCTTGAATTTGCAATCCTCCTGCAAATTCCCAGCCTACCAAAGTAGCTGGTATTACCAGGCCTAGCTTCATTTTTCAATAGTACTATGTGAATAAATCTGAGAAAATAGTCAACATATGGAATCATAAATTGGAGGACCTGCAATAAAAAGAAATCAATGAGTTCATCTACTTTTAATCTGTCAAGTTCTCTTTTGCCCATTTCCAAAAATTAATCATCTATTTTATTGCAAATGACAATGGGAATCACTAAATATCCCCAACCTAGAGAAGAGTACTTCTATATATACCTATTTCAGATACAGAGGCAAGATCTCAGAGAGGACAATGAACATTATTTTCTATTAAAGTTTTCCTTTTGGATACATGTCTAGTATTAAGATATGATAAAAATTAATGTATGGCAATATGACTTCAATGATAATTGAAAAAATAAGCACTTGTACTTTCAACCACAAATAACTAACATGAAGGATTTGAGGCAGAAGTTTCCTTGAAATTAGTCATTAACAAAATGCAAACTAAGAATTTTAAAGATATTGTGTCTTACATATAATAAAGCAGGACTCCAGATAAAAGATAAAAAACAAATTTAGTAAGTAGTAAGGAGATGAATATATATATATATATATATATATATATATATATATATATATATACATATACACACACACACACACACACATATATATACATATATTTTTTAATGAGAAATACATGCATATTAAAATTGCAAGTAAACATTGTCTAAAATAAAGTTAGATATTCAAAAGTTTGCATATGCACACAACTGAGATTCTATACAAAAGTAAAGAGGACAAATGTACAGTCTTATTAGTCATATAGAAAACAACATCTGGCTGGGCCCAGTGACTTTCACTTATAACCAGCAACTCTAGAAGTAGAGGTAGGAGGATGGCAAGTTCAAAGCTAGCCTCAGCAATTTAGCGAGACCCTAAGAAACTTAGTGAGATCCTGCCTCAATACACAAAAGAAAAGGACTGGGGGTTTAGCTCAATGGACAGGGCCCTGCTTCAATCTCCTGTACCAAAAAAAGAAAAACTACATTATTGCTAGAATTGGAAAAAAACACTCTGGTTTTAAAGAGAACTTTTTTACCTGGTAAATGTTTTGGGAAGCAAGAGAAAGGTACTATCAAAGACCAAGCAATGAAGCAAGATATGAGAAATCCGATCCACCAAGCCCCCAACCATCGTGGATCATCTTCAGTGATACCAGAGCTAAACAAAAAAAAAAAAAAAAAAGAGGTAAAAGCCAAGTCAGTGTTGTTAATTAAAACTCAGTTATAATCATAGACTCGAAAATTAAAGATAATCAAGTATGATATTATCATAATAACCAAATTTTTATTGATGCCTTTTTGAGAATCAGACAATGGTAGCAGACATTAATAAGTTAAAAGAATAATTATTTACAAAGTTTTTTAAAACAGTAAATGTGACATAAAATTTTAAAATATTTAACAGTTAATAAGTATGATGGATATTTGAAAACATATATAGAATTTTCTGAGGATTCTTTATTAAACCATGGCTGTTTTTACCCTCTACTGTGTTAAAATTACTTAAAATTATTATACTTATTTAAAATTAATTAAATATATCTCACAAAAAAAAAATCACTGACCTATGTTGAAAGCCCACATTCAGGGCTTCACATTTGGCATTTACTTAAGTATAAACTCGTCTAAAATGATTTGGAGTCACTAATATTTCCACACATGCATACTGTGTACCTTGATCCTATCCACCCACCCATCTTTACACTTACTCCCCTTGTCCTCTGGCACTCATCTCAAGTCCCTCACAATCACTGTTCTACTTTCAAGTTGATTTTTTTTTTCAGTTTCCTCATATAAGAGAGAGCATGTGATAATTTTCTTCCAGTATCTGTCAAAGGATTACCAATACCTTTCATTTTGCTATAAGTGACAGAATTTTATTTTTCTTCATGGTTGAATAATATATATATGTATCTATTTCTGATATATGTAATACATATATGTATATATAAACACATATAAATATATATGTGTATATATGTTTTCTTATTTAATCCTGTCATATATATATATATATATATATATATATATATACACACACACACACACACACACACACATGTGTGTGTGTGTATAATATTTTCAGATGTCCACTCATCTGTACCTAGATTGATTCCCTATCTTGGCTATTGAGAAGAGTGCAGTAACAAACGCGGGTATGCAGAAATCTCTTATTTATTCTATTCACTTCCTTTCTATGTACACCCAAAGTAGCATAGCTGGATCATTTGAAGTTCCATTTTTCATTTTTGAGGAACCTCCATACTATTTTCCATAGTGGCTATACAAATTTAAATTCTCACCACAGTGTATAAGAGTTTCCTTTTTTCTCCACATTCTTGCCAAATTATTTGTATAACAGCAATTCTAACTCAGATCACTTGCCATTCTTTAATTGAATAACTTGTGTTAAATTTGTGTGTTCTAAAAAAAAAATCTGGATATTAACAATCCTAAATCAAATGGTAACTAGCAAACATTTTCTCCCATTCTGTAGAGTTGTCTCTTTGTTGTTTCCTCTTCTGTGTAGAAGCTTTTTCATTTGATGTAATCCAATTTGTCAATGTTTGCTTTTGTTCCTGAAATTTTGGGGTCCTACCCAAAAAATCATTTCTTATTCTGTATCCTGAAGTACTCTCCCTATATTTCCACTAGTAGTTTCAGAATTCTAGGTATTGCATCAAAATCTTTAAACCATTTTGAGGATTTTTTTCTTTGTTCTGTTTTAACTTATCTTGTCACAGTCTCTAAAAGGTCATACTAAGACTAAAAGCTCTAGGGGGAAAAAAATCACATACGAAGGACCACATTTCCTTATTCATTGCTTATAATCAAGCAAAGGATTGTGCAGTTATGATTCCCAATGGTAAAATGAAAAAACAGATTCTCAGCAAAGGTCATTAATTTGTCTATTCAGGAAAAGGTAAAGGCAGGTAATGTGGATTTTGCAATCAAAAGATCTACTTCAATTAATGTTGTGGCTACTTACCAACCTGTAAGTATCAGCTGCTTTAAAGGATTATTGGGAAAATTAAGTAAGAAAACATGTAAGTTATGTTTATTGGAAACATTTGCTCTCTGGAATATAGTATAGGATAAATATTATATATCATTATTACTATATTGCCACGTTATTAAAATAGTGATCTCTCTGACATTATAATTATAATTGTAATCTGTATGACATTATCAGAGCTACCAGAAAATTTATTCTGAGAATCAAAGCCCCATCAGACACTTCAGGCTAGCTGTCCCCAACTAAATCTACAGAAAACATGACTACTTTATATTGAATTGTTGATTTTTAACAATGCATGAAATCTTAGAAAAAAATGTATTTCTAAACATTTAACCACATAACCCTATTAAATATCCTTATTTATGAATAAATACATTATTACACTAAGAGATGGTATGGTATTTATTCATGAAGCAATGTAGCCAGAATAAGATATCATATAAAAGTTGTATATGGTCAGTTTTGTGGCTTAAAAATCCCATGACATATTGAATAAGTACTGTGAAAATTATCTATGATGTTAGTATATTGAAATCAAATAGACTCAAATGAAATAAAAATAGATATTGCCTTGCCTTTCTCCCATAGCAACATCAATGTACATGGTTAACAGTTGTCCTCCCAAAACATAGCCAATGGCTGGGCCTAAGATTGACATAGAATAGCCGATTCCTAGAAAGAAAAAAAAAAAACAGACATTGGAAATAGCCAAATGTACAACTTTGTTTACATCTCTAACAACAGTGAAAAAAGACAAATATTTTGCTATAGAAAAATATAAGTAAGGAGGTCTACTTCAAAATTACAAAAAAAAAATCAATAAATATATTTGATGGTATCATTTTATCAATAATTATGTTAAGGAATCTAAAATGTATGTCAGTAGAAAATCTGTCTAACTGTAATAATTACAACAAGGCAAAACAATTGCAACTCCATGGAAAGTTAGATTATGTTCACTGGTTAGCATGAGTAGCACATCTACTATTATTCTGTACTAAGAATGATAATTAGTGTTTACAATCTCAGGAAATAAAACAATGTGAAACAAGAAGTCTCCTCACTTTGCACCCACTTGGAGAGTATTTAACTTGCCATACAAAAGATTTTGAAACTTCTATCTGCCGTTAATTCCATTTCTTAATAGATATTCATTTAAACCTCTTGTTTTTAGACACTTTCCATTTTAACTATAGGCAAGATTTAATTGAACTTATTTGTGTCTATTATATATTTAACATTTTCCTGTGTATAAAAAAAATTAACTGTATTACAAACGTACAGACGACTGCTGGGTTTTTCATTCTTATACAAAAAAAAAAAAGAACAGGAAACTTAGTTTTTACCTAAACTAAGTACATCTCAATGGCAAAAATGACTAATGTACTAAATCAAGTCTCCAAAATGAAGCTCATGGAAGATGATCTGAAAACATAATTTTTATCTATCTGTCAACTTTCTTAATTTATAATATAGCTGTGTTTTAAAAAGTAAAAAATACTTTAGTAGAAAAATTAAACTATATAATTCATAAGTAGTTGTGCACATATAAAGAATTCATACTCAAAAATACTTTATGAATAAAAGGGCATGCTTAAAAATGCTAGAAATCGGTAATTTATAAATTCTTTTTGGTGGTGATCTTGTTTGTTTGTTTTGGTACTAGGGATTGAACTCAGAGGCGCTCAACCACTAACTCACATCCCCAGCCCTATTTTGTATTTTATTTAGAGACAGGGTCTCACTGAGTTGCTTAGCGCCTCACCTTTGCTGAGGCTGGCTTTGAACTCATGATCCTCCTGTCTCAGCCTCCAGAGCTGCTGAGATTACAGGCATGCACCACTATGCCTAGCTTAGTGGTGATCTTTTAAAGAAACGATTTCCAATTCAGTTAAACCAACAATTTTGTAAGGACATCTTAAAACTTTTGTAAAGCATACAGTTGCTATAGAAGTTTCCATATTACAGATGTACCCAGATCTGGGCATATGGATCAGTGGTAAAATGGTTATCTAACTGTACAAAGCCCCCAGGTTCAACTGCCAGCACTGGAGGCAAAAAAAAAAGGAAAAAAAAAATTAAAGGATGTGCCCAGGTAGAGTTAGTAGTCTGTCAGGGCCACTCCGTACATACTGACTTTCAGTACTACAGCAATGAGTTTCCTATGATAGAATAAAAAACAATAAAGAGAAAAACTCATATAAAAATTAATCAGGTTGGGGCTGGGATTGTGGCTAAGAGGTAGAGTGCTCGCCTAGCATGAGCGGGACCCGGCTTAGATCCTCAGCACCACATAAAAAAATAAAGGCATTATGTTGTGTCCATCTACACCTAAAATATAAATATTTTTAAAAAATTAATCAGGCAATAATTAGATGAAGCACCTTGCATAGTCTGGTTAGCTCTAGACTTTAGGGAAGGAATTTTACCTAGAATTAGTTCACAAAGGGGAAAAAAAGGACTCATATAAAAGTGTTAATCTAAAATGAAAATTTAAGAGTTTCTATACACCCTCTGGTTTTTGTTTTTTTGTTTTTTGTGGAGTCTATTCAAGTTAACGTTGATATAACCAGTCACAATTGCCACACCCTGTGTAAGTTCCCCAGGATTTAGGCAACCCAGACAAAAGGCTTCTCCAGTGGTTCTTTCCATCCAGGAAGGTTAGCATGCCCAGAGGAGGATATAACCAAAAATCATTATGCATTTTATTAATCATCTGGTTGTAGCAGTAAATAGTTAAATAAAGGAAATAGTACATTTACCTAATGGAAATGCCTATCACATTACAAATAACTTTTTACCAAGCCTGTTATGCTTTAGTTATAAAATGAGAACCGTTTCTTTGCCTTTTGACAAAGATCAAGAATACTCATAAAGTAAACAATAGGACAAAATGATCAGGGGATGATTATATTAGAGGTTAAACTTACCTATATAGAGAGAAGACTTGTGAGTGGGCACAGAATCATCAATAAAGGCTGTTCCCAGGGTGTAGAGAGGGGTCCCTCCAGTCCCCAGCAACAGTTGCCCCAAGATGAAGACATACAAGTAGTTAGAAAGCGAAGAGTTGGATGAGGTACAACTGGTGCTATTCCTTGTTGTTGAGCAAGTATCTTTAGTAAAAAAAAAAAAAAAAAAAAGTGAATTTACAGAAATTCATCAAGTAAATATCTAGCGTACAAATGATTTTTGCTTAACATAGTCCTTACTTTTTTTTTCAATCACTTCACTTTGATTATATTTTTACTTTCTAAAGTTGGATGGTATCAGTCTCTCTGCTGCTTGCAACCCATTTTACAGCCCCAAATGAAAGTTTCTGTTAAGTAATGAAACCTACTGCAAACATCTTACAAAGAGCTAATTCACCTCACTGAAAGATAAATAACAACCAAAAAAAGAAAAGCAAATTGTATGACAGAATTCTCCATAAAAATATCATAAGAATATAGTTTCTAAATTATCACATCATGAACCTCCATACTGCTTTCCAGATTGGTTGCACCAATTTGAAGTCCTACCAGAAATGTAAAAGTGTGCCTTTTATCCAACATCCTCACCAACATTTATTGTTGCTTGTATTCTTAATAACTGATATTTTGACTGGAGCAAGATGAAATTTTGAGCAGTTTTGATTTCCATTTATCTAATTGTTAGAGATGTTGAACATTTTTTCCTATATTTGCTGCCTGATCATGTATCTTCTTCTGAGAAGTGTCTTTTCAGTTCCTTAGCCCATTTATTGACTGGGTTATTTGTTTTTTTGGTTACTTGGTTATTTGTTTCTTTGACCCAGCTATCCTACGCGTCGGTTTATATCAAAAGGATTTTAAAACATCATACTACAATGATGCAGCCACATCAATGTTTATAGCAGCACAATTTATAATAGCTAAATTGTGGAACCTACATAGATGCCCTTCAGTAGATGAATGGATAAAGAAACTGTGGCATATATACACAATGAAATATAACTCATCATTAAAAGAGAATAAAATCGTGGCATCTGCAGGTAAATGAATGGAACTAGAGAATATCATGCTAAGTGAAATAAGCCAATTCCAAAAAAACCAAAGACTGAATGTTTTCTCTGATAAATGGATGTTGATCCATAAGGGGGGTAGGGAGAGAGAACATGGGAGGAATGGAGGAACTTTGAATAGTGCAAAGGGTAGGAAATGGAAGGAAGGGGGGATGGGGAAGGAAAGATGGTGGAATGAAATGGACATCATTACCCTAGGTACATATATGAAGTCTAGTTTGTGTACAACCAGAGAAAAGAAAAATTGTGCTCCATTTGTGTACTATGAATCAAAATGTATTCTGCTCTCATGTATAACAATTTAGAATAATAAATAAAATTTTTAAAAAAATAAAAATAAAATAAAATCACATTATGATACTTAAAAAATAATAATGAAAATCACCTCTTAATGTTGAGAATTCAAACAGAGCTTACAAATTCATGGAAGCATGCTGATATGGAAAGAATATATATGGGCTGATAAAATTGAGAAAAGACATGAAAATAAAACAATCAGAAATGAGGATCACACTGGAATGATCAAAAGGAAATAAAGATTAAGAGAATTATAAGGAGAGAAGATGCAAACATGAAGAATATTAAAGAAAAATTAAAATACCACAATTTATAAATGTGAGAGAATATTATATATAAGGATTCAAAAAATGCAAAGAAATACCTAATCATCTAGAAATATATATATATATATATATATATATATATATACATACATACATATACATGTATACATCTTCCAGGGTAAAATAAGGAAACTTCCCTGAAATAAATGAAGACTAATCTATAATTTAAAAAGACATAGAATGTCTGAGTGAAATGTGATGCAGGATTTTTGAAACCAAGATATTCCCTTGCAAATTCACTGGATTTTAGAAGGTAAAGAAATAGCATTTTGAAAAACAAGACACAAAGGTAAAGTTATTTATGCAGAGGGAGATAAAAATCAGTATGTTTGGCAGGCATGATGGTGTATGCCTAAAAATCCCAGAAATTTGGAAGGCTGAGGCTAGCCTCAGGCTAGCCTCAAGAACTCAGTGAGACCTGTCACAAAATAAAAAGGATTGGGTATGTGGCTCAGTGGTAAAGTGCCACTATATCAAAACAAATAAAAACCCAGTAAGTGTGTACTTAATCCAACAAAAGAACGAAGGAATGCCAAAAATGTATTAAATAAAAGATAACATGATGCACAAACTTTATACTCAAACTCTTTCAGATATAAAGACAAAAACAAGTGTTTTAAACCTTAAACATCTTAAACCTCATAGAATAAATCTTGTTTGAAAAAAAAAAAAATTGCTAGAGTACAGTCAATCTTCCAAGGAATCCTCCATTCAGAGTTGAATGTGGACCTGAAGAACTTCAGAAGCAAATACAAAATACTTTATTAAATTGGACTGTTATAATATCATTTTATAAAATGGATTCAACTACTCTTTGTATACTGTTGAGGAAACTATTTGAACCTACGATTTTGACTTTCAATGGAAAATCAGTTTTGAAAACACTCTCAACATTGCTTAATAGGGAGGAATTGGATAATAGCTACCGAAATACAGGTAGATAGAAGAACCAATTCTGGTGTTTCACAGAGCAGTAGTATAACAAAGGACCACTTTATGTTTTGAATATAGCCTTTACTGCTCTTCCACTGCAACTTATTTTTTTTACATGGGCATTTTTCTTTCTCTCTCTCTTTTTTTTTTTTTTTCTCTGCCCCTCTTCAGTCTCTCTTCCTTCCTAACCTCAGGAGAAATAGGATTACTCTTCTTCCCCATCTTAGGCAGATTTACCTGCCCTTGACCACACACCTACCCAAGGAAAAAAGTAAACCAGACTGAGGATGGAACCAGAAGATCTCAGAAATGACTATCACCCAAATTAACAAGTCAATCACAGCTGCAACAGAGAACACTTGGAATGTAGCCTTTGAATCACCTCAGTTCCTGCAGAAGAATCACAGCCTCTGCGACAGGTGTCCCCGTGTGTTTCTCCTTTGATACCAAAGCAATAAACTTCCTTTTCCTTTTTCTCAAAGCTGTGTTCTCATTGGATTGACATCAGGACCAAGAACTAAGCTTTCGGTTACAGTAGGGAGATTATTAGTTTACGACAACAACCTACTATAAAGATTATAAAGACCCTCAAGAAAGGAGTTTAAAGGCTCCAAATAAAAAGAAATGACAAATGTGGAAGAGCATAGAAATACTAATCGCAAAATTTTGAAATGGCTAACAGAACATAGAAATACTAATGTACTGACTTTATCATGACACACTGTTTGCATGTGAATTATAACACTGTCCCCCATACTTATGTAAAGTACTATGTAAATTTTTAAAAATCTAAATTGAAACAAACAAAAAAAGGCATGTTATTTGACAACACACCACAAGGTGGAGCCCCTATGTTGTTTATGAATTCCGAATAGGGTTGCCATTAAAATCACAGATTAGAATTTCACTTAATAGAGAATCCAGTGGCAGGTCCTTCCTATAATATTTGCAGAGTCTGCAGCAAAAGAACAAAATCCATATACCATATGTCAGAATATTTATAAGTTAAATATCAAGCTCAGCCCAACCCTTAATCCCACATAGACCCAGAAACCCACAGCCTTGTTCCCAAGCATTTGCCCTAAACACCTGGAAGCTGAAGAAATCTCTTTCCCTTTGGCCCATCCTGTAGCCAGGGGTAGGGAAGGATGGATGCTGCGTCAGGGCAGTGGAATTCCACTCCCCCAGTCCCTTTTCTGAGAGAATTTCTAGGAGCTGCCTGAGTCTCCCAGGTTGGATTGAAGAGGCAAAGTTTTACAGAGAACTCACTCACTTTAATTACCTGCATCAGGTAGATTGAGCTGGCAAACTTTCCTGCGGCCTCACTTTCTCTCTTCCAGGAAAGTGTAATTTTCTTCCCCTGTCCCCACTCTCTATTTCCCAGACAAGGCCCTACAGGGTAGAAAAACCTGCTGGATTGTTATATTTGGTCACCCCCTCCCCCCCAGTCACAAGAGCACCTTCCTTCCTGGGGAGCTCAGCTCATTTCTGCATCTCCTTTACAGCTTTTTTCACTAACCCTGTTACCAGTCTTTCAAACCTTTCTTATAAAATTTGAAAAATAAAAGATCTTTGAATGTCAATGTTTGCAAGGTGTGGGGCCCTCTTGAGCACTGGGCTCAGGGAAGGGTCCTTCTTCCACAGGACAAAGATGTCTGGTGGCATCTAAAACAGCAGAAAGGAAAATGTTCTTCCTGCAGGTGAGGATCAGCAATACTCCCAAGTCTAAACTCATATCCTTTGTCTGTAACAGGAAATGAGCCAGGGAGCAGCAAAGCAGTTTTGATTCTTTAAGGAGTGTGAGTGGGAGGAGTTTACACAAAGACTCTCACAGGCAGCTCTGCCCTCTTTGTGGGAATTGAAAAGCAGGTAGCCTTTACCAGCACAGCCCACCTGCCTGGGATGACAGCCTGATTACTCACCATCTCTGGGGGCCTAACAGGAACTGAGTCAATGAAATAATTTTCAAAAAACAGCTACTGCAGCCTCTTAGAAAGATGTTATAAGAAAAACCAGCAGCATAATTATATTAAATTAACATTAGGCCAAAAGAAATGTCTTTCTACGTTCCGTTAGCCATTTCAAAACTTTGCAAATGTAATGACCAATTCATTAGAAAGAAACATCTGAGAAGAAAAATAAATAGAAGAATTAAAACTAAATTAAATTAATGTTAGGGCATTAGCCCCAAAATATTTTCATGGAGCAAAGGAAAATGTTTAAACATAAATTTCATATTGAAACAAAGCAATTGTTTATGTGAAAGAAGAAAGCGAAGCAGAAACAAATTTTTTTAAAAAAAGATGAAATATGCATTGGCAGGAAATCTAAAAGAAAAAAAAAATAAAACTCCATAGAAATGAAGATACAATGTAAAGAGATCCAATGTAAAGGGACTAAGAAAATAGAGCAATGGACACACTGAATAGAAATGAGAAAAGTAATTAAAAGAGTGATTAAAAAATTAATACATAAGCTAGCCAATGGGGATCATGTATACATATAATTGAAGTATCTG